GCGGCCGCGGGGGGGGGGTGTGACGGCGCGCGCGCGGCCGCAGCGCACGCTGCCGGGCGGGGCGGGGGGGTAGATCCCTCCGCCGCGCTTAACCCCGGCGGCGCCGGGGCGGGAGCGCACGTGGGCACCGAGGGGGCGGAGCTTCCCTCCGCTGGCCCCGCCCCCTCCCGGGACCGGCACCGGGGCGGCACCGAGCGTGAACGGATGGAGACCATGGGCTTAGATGAAGAGGCGGTGGGCTCCGGGATGGGGTTCCACGAGCAGCCGCTGTGCTCGGGGCCGATGTCGCCGCTAGCAGCCGCTGTGTCCGGTCCCCGGTAGCAGCCGCCGGGATCTGTCCCGGTGTATCCGGAGCAGCTGTTGTGTCCGGTCCCTGTGACTGTGGAACAGCCGCTGTGTCCGGTCGTGGAATCCCCAACAGCAGCAGCAGCAGCAGCCGCCATGCCCGGTCCTGAGGTCCCCGGTAGCAGCCGCCGAGACCGATCCCGTTCCCCGCGTGCTACGGTCCCGCACCACGCGTGCCCGGTTCCGGTATCCCCGGAGCAGCCGGTCCCGCTCCCCGCCGCACGGTGCCCACCCTCGACCCCGTGGACCCTAAGGAGTACACGGGGCCGGTACCCCCGTTCGGGGCCACATCAGCCCCTCGGTCCCCGGGACCACCGGCAGGCACACCACAGACCTGGGGGTCAGTAGCAGGGACAGAGGGAGCCCAAACCCCCAGACCCAGAGATTTGGGAGGGCTACTGAGGGGGTACAGCCCCCCCATAACTCCCAGGCTGTACTACCCTGGGGTGCCCAGGTCCTGCTCCTCTTTACCACCATAATTAGCAAGAATTAGCCGGACTGGGTGGAGATAAACAATCCAGAGCATCCCCCACTCACGAAGCCAGAACTGAAGTTCTCAGGGAAAGAAATAGGGGGAACAAGGCTGAAAAAAACCTCCAAGGGTCCCAGTGAGGCCCCTGGGGTGCTCGACGTGACAGCACATCCAGGGTTGGAGGGACCCCCGTGTTGGTATTCGAGGGAGGCTTCACATTCTGCCTCCTCCCCAGCAAAGAACAGCTCCCCCAGTCCAGGGGTTTACAGACAAAACAACGTTTAATTGTTTCAGCCTTGACTCCCACGGGTCCGGCACAACCGGACTGCAGCCCCACGCTGGRAACAACACCCGCATTCAGCCCTGGYTSCCGGAGCAGGAACAGCTCCGACCTGTCCTTGTGCGTGTGTGGGGGACATCAGTGATGAGCTGGGGGCTCCTGACTGGGATARAACCCCCACCCTGCTGCCAACCCCCAGGATTCCCACAGTCTGTGCAAAGTGAGGGGTCCTGAACCACAGCAKGACGGTGTGGTGGCCTCCCCAAAGTCACTGCCATCGTCCAGGAGAAAGTCCTGGGGGTGGTCTGGCCCAGCCAGGGGGTTCTGTCCCATCCCAGGGATCACATCAGGCGGCAGCTGGTGGATATGCCATAGGAATTGTCCCCCCGGTCAATCTCCTCAATGATTTTCATGAAGATCCCCTGGGTCACCTGAGGATGAGGGGACATCAGTGCCAGCACACTGGGAACCCYGTTCCCAACCCCGGGTGGGCTCTGTCCCCCATATCTGGCTCTCCTTGGCCGAGAACTTGAGGAAAATGGCCCCACCAGGATTCTGCCAGCTTCTTTCCTTCATCTGCCCTCACTTTCCAGCTGAAGACACAGCAGAGGACAGGCAGGATGTGCCTCTGGGACCCCCAGAACCCCCCTTTATCTCTGCAGAGCCAGGTCTGCCTTGTTCCCYACCAGCACCACAGGGGAGGATCAGAGCCCACCACGGGTTCCCCATCCCCAGGAGTGACAGCACCTACCATGTCTTCCCCCAGCTCTTGCAGAGGGTCTTGACCACCTGGAAGCTGTGGGGACAAGGGGACATCCAGGCACTCATCCCCAAATCTCAGGGGTTCCTCACCTCCGCTGGGATGTCACCAAGTACACCAGGACATAGCCATGGATGCCAATGACGAAGGAGTGGGACAGAATGGGGAACTCGTCCTTGGGGAGAGGGACAAAACCGGTGGCAGGGGTGGCTGGGGGGTCAGAAGCCCCTCTGCACCCCCAAATTGCCCCAGCATTACCTGTCTGGCCGTGTCCACCAGCTGCAGCTGGAACTCGCCCACCACCACCATCTTGTAGGCTGCAGGGGTGGCACCAGGTATGGGGGGCTGCCTGGGACCCCCAAGGTTGTGAGCCACCTCCACCCCATTCCAAGGGCACCCCTCATCCCCTGGCACAAGGTTTTGGGGTACAACGCACCCCTGCAGGAGCGGGGACGTGTCTGTCCTCATCATCTGGGGTCCCACAGGGGCATCAGGGAGCAGGACACCGGGCAGGCAGCGCCTCACCCACCCTCACTGCTCTCTATCGTGGGCTCGTAGCACTCCACGAACTTTCCCTTCACGAASTGGTGGGTCAGGGAGGTTTTACCTTGGTGTGGGGAAACAACAGGGCTGGGTGGACCCGGCATCACCCCGGGACAGGGGACAGAGCCGGACCGAGAGACGGGAACCAGGGGAGCTCTCCCGGGGTGACAGAAGATGCTGGGAGGGTTGCCCAAGATAAACACGGCCCCAAACATCCACGTGGGGTGGGGACCAACCGTGCCGAGCCCGGAGAGGACCGGCACAACCATTCCGTGGTGCACCTGCCGTATCCGGTAATCCCCAGCGAGGCAGCACCGGGGGAGCCAGGGACCCCCGGAGGGCAGAACCCCTCTCCGGAGCGCAGTACGCCCCCAGCCCGAGTTCCTCCGCACGGACCCGCCGAGGATGAGCGCTTTGCGGTACCGGAGCGGCGGTAAAACCCGCGGGACGGCGCGGGCGGGCGCGGCAAACGGCGCCATAAACCGCGCCGGAGGGGGCGTGGCCTCCGCCACTACACCGGCACGTGACCACAACACCGCCCGCCCCCGCGCTCCCATTGGCCAAGCAGCGGAGGAGGGGGCGGGGCTAGTCGGAAGCGCATGCGCATTGGCGTTCGGGGCGCTCCATTCATGAAAACGGAGGGAAGCGCCGTGGCCACGTGGTGGTCGCGCATTTGAGTGGGAATGGGGAGGGAATGTCCTTGTCCTGAGTTCCCAGACACCCCCATCTCGACCTGTACCGGCCCGGGGATACCCGGGAACACCCGGACCCCCCTCCTGCTCCCCGGGATCCCCATYGTGGCCTCTCCCAGCTCTAGGAACCCCAGGCTCCCCGGGATATTTCGACCCCTCAAGATGTCTGACCCCTGCCACAGGGACCCACAGCCCCCTGAGGGCTGCATTGCTATTCCCCTCACCAGAGGCTAAACCACGAGGTTGTCTCCATCTGGTCAAAATTTGGAGGGGAAAGTGACTTTTTTGCCCATTTGGGGGCCAGAAAGACCGGTGGAAGTTGGGTCCCTACTCCAGCCCCAGGGACCCCCAGAGCCTCAAGATGCCAAACCCCCAGGGATACCCCAGTCCCCTGCAATGCCCTACCCAGTTCCAGCCTCTTAGGATGCCCAGCCCTAGGGACCCTCAGCCCCTTGAGATGATCAATTCTAGCCCCTCCAGATACACCAACCCAGCCTTACACATCCCCCACCTCCAGCCTCATCTCCAATTGGGCCATAGACTTTCTTTATTTCCCCAAACAATTAAATAGTAGTATTTCTTTTGTTTTGTTTTGTTTTTAAACAGAAGTGGTTAAAAGCAGGCTTCCCCCTGCCCCATGGAGCAAGCCCCACTGCCGGGCCAGGCTGGCAYGGGGGACATTTATATTACCATTTATAAATAGAAAAATAAAACTCTCAAGCAGGGCAGGTTAGCGGTTAGCATGGTTAAAGTTGGGCCTGGCATGGGGTGCCCGTGCCCGTGCCCGTGGCAGACACCCCGTCCTGCCACCCTGCAGCACAGGGACAGGAACACTGTGGGTGACAGGGACAGACCCAGAGCAGGGGATCAGGCACTGCTGCCAAGTGCTCGGTGCTGGGGTATTTTTTGCATCTCCCAGCTGGATTTGGTTTTGGGGTGGGGTCTGGTAGTGCCTGGCTGTGGTTTGACAAGCACCAACCCCAGCCCCAGCGCAGTGGTTAATAAAGCAATAAATACCAGCAGAGCATGTGGGGGTCTGGGGCATGGGGACCCGGCTGTGGGGCGGCTCTAGGACAAAGGACAGGGCTGAGCCAGGTCCTTGGTGACACTCCATCCCATCCCCACCACCCCGTGCCCCAGAGCAGTGCAGAGCCCTGACCTTCCCATAGCACCAGGGATGCCCCAGGGATCCAGGGGGTGCCCAGGGCTGGAGCCCCCCACTTCCAGTGTGCAGCATCACCCACCGTGTGGTGACTGGGGGGACCAGGGACCCCTACACCTGCAGAGCCTCGTGGCCCARCACGCCCCCGGCCAGCCGGTAGAGCAGGCTGGAGTACCAGTGCATGCCAGCCTCTGGCACCGTCCCGTTGCCCACCTTGGCTTGGGTTGGCAGCAGCGAGAGGAGCCCGTGGAAGAGGCGGAGAGGGGCGAAAGCYCGATGTGCCCAGCGGTGGCTCTCCAGGACGGCGTAGCAGGATGCCAGCACCCCATTAACCAGCAAGGTGCCRTGGGATGTGAGTGGGGCAAAGACCCCCACGCCATCCTCCCGTGAGACCCTGAGCACCCGTGCYGGACGCAGCCCCCTCTCGCCAGCCCCGTGGGCCAGCACGGCATCACCCGGGCGCACACGGCGGGCAAAGATGGGCAGGAAAGCGGCCGAGCCGTTRGCCACCCCACGGGCTGCGAACACCAAGTGGGATGGGGTGAGCAGCAACCGGCGCGCCGGGCTGGCCGTCTCGATGGCCACRAAGGAGGCGCGTTGGCCCAGGTCCCGGTGGAGGAAGAGCAGCACCTCGGTGGGCACCAGGCGCCCGCCCGGCTCGGCGCCCAGCACCCAATCACCCCGGCGCAGCTCGGCCAGACCCCGGCGCTCGCCGCTCTGCAGCGTCACGGTGGCGTGGCCGGGRAAGCAGCCGCCGGTGCGGATGGCCAGCGAGTTATCTGAGAGGATGGAGAAGGACATGGGTGTCCCCACACCGGCCACCTCYACCAGGTCACCACCTCCAGAAGGGGAAACGGCGACCCCCAAACCACCCCCAGAACAAAGCGGGTATTTTCCGAAGCTCCCCTGGTTCCTGCGTGCAGCTCCCTTTGTCCCTTTGTCCACCCTGCACTGACGCCCTTTGTTCCGGGCTGGAACGGTGACATTTACAGCCACTTTCACTTTCTGTCAATGGTCACTTCTGGAGTGGATGGGAACTGCTGGCTGGAGCAACTGTGGGGTGGGGGGCTGTGGGGCTGGGGGTTGTAGGGCTGAGGTTTGTAGGGTTGGGGGCTGCATTGCTATTCCCCTCACCAGGAACTGAACCATGAAATTGTCTCCATTTAGACAAAATTTGGAGGGGAAAATGATTTTTTTTTGCCCATCTGGGGGAGCTGGGCGGGAGACAGACATCATCTGAACCTGTTAGGGACTGAGCAATAATCCCACGTGGATTTGGGATGTAAAGGGGGAGCAGCAGAGCTGTGGGCTGGAATGCTTTTGAGGATGGCAGCCCCCTGCCCTGATGGCAGCCCTTTCCGTGTGGTACCTGCTCTGACGGAGACGTGGATGTGCGCCTTGGACTCGTAGTAGACCCAGTCGAAGCCAGCCTCGACGGCCAGGCGTGCCAGCATGCCGTACTTGTGGCGGTCRCGGTCGGACGTGGTGATGTCCAGTGCCCGGCCCTCGTAGTGCAGAGAGTCRGGGAGGTGGTGCCCGTCCTCGTCCCAGCCCTCGGTCACCCGCAGCTTCACCCCCGGCCACATGTTCATCACGGCGATAGCCAGCGAGTTCACCCGCTCCTTGCAGCGCTGTGGGGACACAGCAGCATCGGTGTCACCCTCCCCAGCACACAGGGACAGACAGGAGACCTGCAAAGGGCTTGGAGGGAGCCCAAAGGGGCTCCTGTGGGAACAGAGAAGGTCAAGGCCAATCTGCCCCCCTGCCTGGGTGCAGGTTGAACGTTAACGTGCCCTGGGGTCCCGTGGTGGAGCTGCTCCACGGGCAGCCGGGTGGAACGGGCAAGGGACCGGGACAGGCACGGGGACCGTGTCACCTTCCCCGCGGCCACGGCCGTGACTGATTAACCTGGAGGGGGGGACTGTGAAGCAGAGCTGGGGAGCAGCTGACCCTGAACCAGCCCTGAGTCCGGGCTGATGGGGACAGCAGGGGGGTCCCAGGCGGTTCCGGGGTCCCCCTCCCCATCGGCAGCGACAGCATCGAAACGGGGTGCAGGGATCGGAGCTGCCCCGGTCCACCCCCGCAGCCGGTGAGGTCACAACGTCCCTCAGTGCCCCGGTGCGCCCCCGCTTCCCCGTTCAACAAAGCGGCTCCCGGGAGTGCGGGGCCGCGGGGGCGGCAGTGCGGGGCGCGGGCCCGGGGCGGCCGGGCCGGGGGGGGACGGCAGCGGCGGGGGGGCAGGAATGCGCTCGGCCCGGCCCGGCCCGGCCCGGCCACAATAGGCGCCTTCCAGCCCGGCGCTGACCTCAGGCCCCGGGAATGCCGCCGCGGCTACAAAGAGTCCTTTCAGCTACCCGCACCCCGGGCCAGCTCCGCTCCCGCGGCCCCGGCGGGCCCCGCCGTCCCGGCCCCGCCGCCTCCGCCGTCCCGGCTCGCGGGATGCTGCCGGCGCCGCCTGGACCACTCGCAGCATCCCCCGTCGCCATGGCGACCGCGGGGCCGCCCCTCGCCATGGCAACCGTGAGCATCCCGACGGGTGCGCGGCGCGTCCCGGGTTCCCCCCGAGGAGAGGGATAACCGGGGCCGCCCCATCCGCGCTGACCCTGGGACCGGCGGCGCTGGAGGAGCGGAGCCGCCGGTACCTCGTCACCCCGATGAAATCCCGTCCCGTTAATCCTCTGAACGCTTAACACGGCGGGACCGCCCCATCCTGGAGCTCCGGTGCTGCTGCGCCGCCGCCAGGAGCCGTGGAAGGGAGCAGGGGACCGGGGCGAGGTACCGTGCGGCCCCGGCGGGGTCCCGGTGCCCCGGGAGGCTCCGCGCTCCCGGCAAGAGTCGGTGCCACCCGGGAGGATCCGTGAGCCCCGGGATGATCGGTGCGCCCTGGAGAGGGTCGGTGGCAGCCGAGAAATGTCCGTGAGCCCCTGGGAGGATCGGTGCCGCCTGGGGAAKGTCCGTGAGCCCCGTCGAGGGTCGCTGTGCTCCCGCCCGTCCCCCCGCCTCCCCCGCGTCCCCGCGCCCCCGGGAGCGAGGCCGGGCCGGRCCGGGAGCAGCCCCCACCTCGGTCATGAGCCGGTCCGCCCCCGTGTTCTCCTCGTCCTTGAAGATGATGTCGGGGTTGTAGTTGGGCACCAGGTCCCTGAAGCGCTCGGAGCCCCGCAGCACTTTGCCCTCCGCTTTCCCGCTCGCCCCCAGCGTCTGCTCGGGCACGTTGGGCACGAACTGCTTGTAGAGCAGAGGCGAGAGCTGCCGCCGCCCCAGCCGCCGCCGCCCCACCGGGCCCCGACCCGGGCCGCAGCCCAGCACCGGCGCGGCCAGCAGGCAGGCGGCGAGGCCGAGCAGGACGAGGGCGAGCGGCCTCCACCGGGGCATCCCGCCCGCCGGGCGCCGCTGCCTCCGCGGGCCCCGCTCAGTCGCCGGGGGCACGGGCGGCTGGGGCGGGCATAGTCCCGGTGTGGCGGCCCCGGGGCTTTTAGAGGGTCGCGGTGCCAGGGGCGGGTCGGCGCCGTTTCCTTCTCACACCCACGGTCCCGTCGCTGCTGCGGGATCCGCGGCCGCTCGGGAACACTGACCACCCCCTCGTACCCCCCCCCGCCGGTGCCGCCACCCACTCGGAGCGCCGCCGGTTCCGCGCTCACGGTATCGGAACCCCCGTGCCTGGTGCTACACCCCGGTGCGGAGAAATCCCCGACACTGGAAAGCCCTCGCACCACTGCGTCCCAGCACCGGGCACCGGCACCCACCTCCGGGCACTGCCCCGGGACTGGCACCGGCCACCMGGCTCCTGAGGCTGCCCCGGGACCGGCAGCGGGATCTCACCCCGCGTCCCGATCCTGCTCCCCCTCCCCGTCTAAATCCCGAGCTCTGACACCGCYTCCTCCTCCTCTCCACGGTCCCCGCACTGCGCTCCGGTACCCGGACCCCTCCTTATCCGGGTCCGAACGCCGCKATTCTGGTCCTGGGACCTGTTCTGTCACCGCCTGCTGGGACCGGGGATCTCTCTCGCYCAGTCCCGGTCCCTCTTCTCCCGCTGTCCCTTGCACCGAGGACACTCGTTATYCTAAGGCTGTGCCGCCGGTATCCGCACCTGCTCCGTCCCCTCGGCACAGCCCCGCTCCCGGGACCCGCTCCCTGACACTACCCCKCTCCTCTCTGTTCGGTCCSRSYCCCGGTCCCGGTCCCCGTTCCTTGCCCAGCCCCCGGTACCGGCTGCCTTGCGTGCTAATCGGCACCGTGCGCCGCCCTCAGCCGCCCGGACCGGGCTGCCCACACCGTGGCCGCTCGGATTCGGCGCTGGGCAGCCCCGCCTCGGACCCGGCCCCCGGGAGCGGCGGCAGCGGCRGCCACATCCCCCGGGGCCGCCCCCGCCGGGCTGCCCTGCCCCGGCCGGCCCCTCCGCTCCCCGGGACCGGGGTACCCCCGGACCGGGACCGGGCACCGCCGAGGATGGGGCCGGGCTGCTCCGGGACTGGCACCGGGCTCCAACAGGAAYGTCCAGGAACGGGGCACCCCCGGGACCGGGATCTTCTCGGGACTGGGACCGTGTCCCCCGATCAGCACCCCAGAGCTCCCGGTGAAGCACCCAAGGGTACCGAGGGTCCCGGAGAGGAAACGAGGCAGCAGCGGAGCCGCGGAGAGTTAGAAACGGATCAGGGGGGTCCCGGCCACCGCGGGCCCCCCTACAGCTTCCCCGCAGCCCCGGTGCCAACCCGGGGTGACTGGGAGGGGAGCAGGGCGCGGGGAAATCGCGGGCACCGATGGCCTCATTTCCTGCAATATAAACCAGGTTTCCTGCGCTTCCTGCTCGGCCCCAGCCGATTGGGGGGGTGAGGGGGGGCCCGGGCCCCCCACCCCCGATATGGGGGGGCGGCCTGGCTCGGCCCCAGCCGGGGCAGGATGGGTGGGGGGCCGGTTCCCGGGGCAGTTTCCGCTGCGGCCGCACGACCCTCCATCCCAGAAATCGAAATTTCTGCTTTGCCCCTCACTTGGGGTARCTCAGCCCGTACCCCGAAACTTCCCAGAGCCCCCCAACACCCCCGGGGTCCCTCAGCTTCTTCCAGGCTGCCCTCACCTGCTGCCCTGCCTGGAAGAAGCTCATTAACCCCAAGCAGGAAGAGGGTTAATTATGGCCCCCAGGGAAGGAGGGGCGGGACCGTGACCCCCCCAAGACAGGGATACCCCACCCCTGCCCCCCTCTTACTCAGCCCTGCCTTCATGGGGAGTAAAACCCCCAGATTGWGATATTTTTATATAAAAAATGGTCACTATTTATTGCTCCAAACAAGTTCTGTGGTAACAGAGACCCGACATACTCATCACACCAAGCTGCCAGAGAGAGGGGGGGTCTTGTTCCCTGCACCCCAGGCCCCCCTATTAGGGACCCCAAGGGCCTCGGGGTGGGCGGGGGACAACCAGTGCCCCTCTGCAGCCCCGGAGTGACACAGAGATGGAGTGTGGAGTGACTCTGGGCAGGGAGCATGAAGTGGGGGTGACATTAAAAACACAACCAGACCCCAGGGAGGAGCCTGGAAGGAGGTCGGGGGACCCGGCCACTCTTGCACGAGGTATTTGAACGGGGTGGGGGGGCTGCAGCCAGCGCAGCCTCGGGGGAGACCCCACGCCCCTTGGGGATGTGTGATGGGGGTGTGGCTCAAGGCCAAGGCTCAGTAGCACAAAATGCTGAGATAAAGTGGGAGTAAGAAACCCCAAAACGTGTCTCGGCTTTCCCTGGGMGGGCTCTGATGGTCCCTGAGGTATCAGGTGCTATCAGGGYCAGCTCTGTGGCTAGCAGCCACCCTGGGGGCCACCAAAATGAGAGGGGGGGGACACATCCCTGTCCTCCAGCCCACGCAGGGCTTGAGGGGGTCAGCCCCCTCACAGGGTCTCGGTTCTCCCTGAGGGGCTCTGATGGTCCCTGAGGTATCAGGTRCTAYCAGGGTCAGCTCTGTGGCTAGCAGCCACCCTGGGGGCCACTGTGATTGGGGGGGACACATCCCTGTCCCCCAGCCCTAGCAGAGCTTGCTGCGGGTCCGGCAGCGCGTCACGGGCAGCGGCAGCTTGTGCAGACCTGGAGACAAGAAAAGTGTGAGAGCCAGGGTGGGGGACAGGGGACACCCCAGCACCCATCCCTGTGTCCCCATGTCCCTGTCCTCACCAAAGGCACGGATGAGCTCGGCCTGGACAGCCCAGGAGACCCTTTTCACCAGGCACAGCGTGGTGAGCCCCGCAAATCCCATGTTGTAGAGGAAGACGATGTAGAAGTTTCCCAACCAGTTGAAGCGGCCAAAATCACCCAGGAGGTCAAAACGGGTGATCCCTGCACAGGGGTGGGGCACAGCGGGGTCAGGGCACCCCAATTCTGGGGACACCCCCATTCAGGCATCACCCTGATCCCTTTGGGGGGCTCACCCAGYGTCCTGGAGAAGACGGGCAGTGCTGAGCTGAGCACCAGCAAGGAGACGCAGTTCCCGATGATCTGGGGAGAATCAGGAGGTTTTGGGGGTCAGTGCTGCTGCAAGGACCCGTCCCCCAGGCTGGGGAAGGGCCAGAGAATCCAGAGAAACACAGCAGGACACTGACAAGCAGTGCACTGTGGGGAACGGGGTCTTGCACCCCAAGGGGAGCTCAGGCGCCCCCCAATCCCACCCTGCTGCTCCCACCTTGGTCAGGGGAGTGTCCTGCCTCTCTGGGAGCAGGCGAGTGAAGAGGGGGGAGCTGTAGAAGCCCACCACAGAGGAGACCATCAGGTAGCTGGAAGGAGTGTTAAGGAGCAAAACAGGGAGGGATGGTGCTGGAAACGGTGCTGGRGACACAGGGGASATCACTGGGGACAYCAGTGCCCCGCCTGAAGGATACAAAATGAGGACAACCTGCAGTGCAGCTCCAAAGGAACCAAAGATGGAGAAGGAAACCTGGCCCAGGGACGCGTCCTGCAGGCAGAGGAGGGAGCAGGTTGGGGAGGAATGGTCCCCAGAGCAGTAAGGGACGTGACTGTGCTGTCCCATCCCCCTGCCCGGGTACCTGGATGCCCCGTGGCATCGCGGCATCGTCCAGCAGCAGCTCCAGCACGTGGAAGCAGACAATGAGCACAGAAATGCCCTGTGGAGGAGCAGGGAGGGAGTGAAGGCAGTGGGCAGGATGGGGACAACCCCCAACTCCCCTGGGAGCCCAGGGCTACTCACTGTCAGTGCCAGGAGGCCCAACATGGCCAGGGGGTAGCCCAGGTTCCTCTGCCAGGGTGAGGCTCGGTGCCGCAGCTCTGTGGCAAAGATGTGCCCAGGTGAGAGGGGAGCACAACTCCCACCCCAGGGCAGGAGATTGAGGGGGGCCTCAAAGTGCCAGGATGGGATGTAACAGCCCCCACCCCATTTCCCACCCACTGTTCCACCACAGAGCACAGGGACCCAGCGCTCCCAGTGCTCCCAGTGCTCCCAGTGCCAAGCTGGAGGAAACTCAGGTGTCCTGGCCTTTTCCCCCAGGATCCTCACCCAGTTTCCGCCTCTTGCTGCGGATGGCAAAGAACTGCTCCCGCAGCATCTCCATGTCCAGATTCAGCCAGCAGGAAGCTTTGCCTGCAAGGGGGGAGATCCCAGAGGCTCAGGTGGGGTGAGGGCTCCTATGTGGGGCCCCCAATCCACCCCATGCTCCCCTTTCTTTCCCAGCCAGCAACACCCACCAGAGCGGATCCTGTGGGACACGGCGGCTTCCTCAAACCTTGTGCAGCTCAACTGCTCATCCAGGTCTTCCAGGAGCTGGGAATGGGTGAGGAGCCCGTGAGCAGCTGGTGGGGGGTGTGGCAGCCCTGGGGGGCAGTCACCCCCAAGATTTGGGGCAGAAGGATTGTGGGGGACACCTCCTTACCCGGGGTTTCACCAGCAGCTTCCCAGTGACGGTGAACATGATGGAGAGGCCAAAGGGGGTGCACACTGCGGTGGAAGGAGAGGATGAACAGGGTGGGCCCCTCCATCCCACCCCTCCCCACACCTCCAGAAGGATCCTGGAGCTCCTCCAGGCTCCATTTGCGTGGAGCACCACCAGAGCCTCGGGGAGAACATCCCACAACTTACACAGCAGAAGCAGAACGCCAAAGAGCGAGATACAGGAGTAGAGGTAGGGCAGATAATATTCCCAGAGATCTGTGGAGGCAGCAGGATCAGGCCAGTGGCACCAGGTTCCATTCAGAGCCAGGTTCTGACTCTGCAGCACCCCAGCAGCACCCACCGTAGAGCGACTGGCGACTGGCAGCATCATTGCCCACGATGGCAGAGGCCACCCAGACCATGCCCAGCACCAGCAGCGACAGCAGCAGCAGCACCACCGACGTCTCGTACACCCTGGCCATGATGCCCTGCAGGARCTGGGTTAGCAGGGARTCACGGATGGAGGGGACAGGGGGGRACAWCTGCAGGATCACCCACCTTCTTGGACCCTGCAAACCCCTCTGACTCGGTGAAGAAGTAGGCAAAGGGCATGAGGAAGACGAGGGACATGTTGGAGAAGAGGAAGACCAAGTTCCAGAGGCCTGGAAAACAGGGAACAGCATGAGGTGAGCTCCTGGGCAAGGCAACCCTGACCCACAGATTTTGGGGTTACCCCAGGGTCACCCCAAGCACCCACCGTGAATGAGGGACCCGTTCAGCCACTGGATGTAGTAATTTTGGGGGAATGAGAGCAGCACCTCGTTGCTGATGATGGAGAAGGGCAGGAGGAGGACGGCGCCCAGCGCCACAGCCAGGGTGAAGGTACAGAGCCCCAATCTGGTGGAGGGACAAGCATCACCTCTGGGTCAGGGTTCCTGTGGGTGTCACAGCCCTGCTCTGCCCCCCAGCGTCACCAGCACCCACAGGACACGGTGTGCTGAGGAAAAGGTTGAGTATCAGGGAACGGGGACAAGCAGGAACTTACGCAATCCTGTTGACAGCAGCATCCTCGTCATCGTGAACTGCGGGGACAAAATCCCGAATCAAAGGGCTGGGGGAGGCAGAACTGACAGAGAATTGCTCCCTGCCCCGTGCCCAACCTCTCCCCACTCCAAAGGCTGTAGAAATCCTTCAAGAGAATTCAGGCTTTGCTCCCACCTGAGGTGGATAGTGGGTGCCCTGCAGCAATTGGTGTCATGGGAACCCAGGCTATGGTGGGATCGGGACTTCTGGGGGTGGCCAAAAGTGATGGAGGAGCAKGAAAAACCCTCAGGAAGATGAATATGGCTGCCAAGGGCTGCCTGGCTCTGGCAGCTCCCGCTCTCTTACCTGCTGTGAAATCCGTGTGCTTCTTAAAGTGGGTTATGATGAAGTGGCAGAGGATGTATAGACTGGCGAAGAGCAGGGCACAGATCTGAGGGCACAAAGGAGTTTGGGCAGTGTGGGCATGCCCTGGGGGCAGTGCTCCTAGCCAGGATCCTACCCCGGCCCTGGGGCTTGTCAGCCCCACCCTATTTGTTTTTCCACTCCTGGCCCTGGTTACACCCCACTCGTGTGCTCAGACCTATCTGTTCAGTGGGGCTGCACACAAGGTTCACACATGGGTGCCCAAAGCTGGCACAGCACCCAGGCCAGGGGGGCTCAGAGCCCACCCAGAAGCACTGGGTCTGCCTGTGCTGGCAAATCTACGACCCCGTGAGACAYCCCTGAACTGCCCGATCCCACAGCCCTCGCCCTGCTGGCACCAGAACCCAGCAGAGCCACGGGAACAGCCTTGAATCAGGCGCCAAGGACATCTGCGGTGTCCCTCCCGCCCCCGCTGGAACGCCGAGGTCAAGCCAGAGCAGGCGATGTTCAGGGAACACGGCGACCTTTCATCCCGCCGGGTACGCGTCAGGATGAGGAAAGGTCGCCCGATCCCTCCACCTTGGCACAGGTGGAGTGGGRAGCAGCCGTGACACCTCCCTTCTGCCTGGCTGGGGTCTGAGGATCCCTGGGATCTGCCAGTGGGATGGCAGGGAGCCCCCAGACTCYCAGTAGGGCAGTGCCCAGCAGGTCCTTCCACTCCTTCTCCCACCAAGTGAGGGGTYTCAGGCCACAGGTCCCCTCCTGCCATGTGCTGGATCCCACCTCTGCCTGGTGGGGGGACCCCCAAAACCTCCCCCACTCGGTGAAGTTGGGGCAAATAATCTTTGTGCTGCCTTTGCCAAGCCAGGGGCTCACGGGAGAGATGAGACCCCCCCGGGATGGAGGTCTGGGGGACTCCAGAGCAGAGGTGATGGGTTTTGGCCACCAAGTCCTCCCTGTAGGCACCGAATTTGGCTGTGGTGAGGGGGCCTCGGCATTGCTGGTCACAGCCAACTCGGCTGCCCTGCGTGCAGCATCCCGAAGGCTCTTAGGAGGTGCCASGACCAGGATATCCAGGTCATCCCCATCCCTGAGCCAGTGGCAGCGGGAGAAGCGGAGCAGACCCGGCTGGCTCTCTGTGCGGTGCTCGAGGTTTAGGGGGCTCTGTAGGGCCCCTTCCCGGTGACAGCGAGCTGCTGGGCTGAGGACAGGGACAAAGCCAGGAGCCTCTCATGGAGCTGACCCGGCTCTGACACCACCACAGCCCAGCACCCCCACCCCTCCCAGCTCGACGGGACGGCTSGAGCCGGCAGAGGGGTCGCGGCAGGGGCTCAGCGGGGTTCAGCCCCGGGACCCCGCTATCTGCCGGGCACACGCAGCCGCGGTGGCTCCGATAAGAAAATGGGGTGTGGAGCCCCAACACAGCCGGGCAGCAGAGCTRCCACCGAGGATCCCGACGTTCCCATGGAGGGCTACGATCTCCCAGCCCCTCTTCCACCCCTCCCCGCCACGCCGGGCCCCTTCCCCCTCCCGCCGCCCCTCACCGCGGCCCCCGGGGCACTCACGATGCACTCGCGGACCCTCTCATGGAAGATCTGCTCCCGCACGGCCAGCGCGTCCTGCTCCACAGGGGCCATGCTGCGGCCAGCATGGCAGGGCCGGGCGGGGTTGCCGCGGGCAGGAGCAGGATGGCAGTACCGGTACCGCTGCTCCGTTACAGCCCGTCCGGTACCACCGGGAATCGCCGCTCTGAGCCCGTCGGGTCCGGCCCAGCGCCGCCGTGGGTGGCCCCGCCCCTCCCCGAAGCCACGCCCCCCGCGTCCGGTGCCCGCTACAATGTATCCGCTCCWCCGMGGCCCCGCCCCCTGCCGCTCATTGGCTGCSAGGCTTGAATGAGGCGAAGCTGATTGGTCGAAGCGCAGCGCGGCGCGCGCTGATTGGCTGAGCGCCCGCCCACCGCTCCCACGGGGCAGCAGCTCCAGCGCAGCCCCCCGGGATTAAGCGCGGGGAGGGAGCTAATCCTGGGACACAGCTAATCCCGGGTGCGTTAATCCCGGGAACGCGCGGGGGGCAGGGCAGGGCACGGCAGGGCAGGGCTCCGGAGCGCTGGGGGCACCTACAGGGCATGGCCCCTCTGGGGGATCGCGGGCAGCTCATGAAAGAGCCAAGCAGAACMCAAGGTGAGGCCCCCACCCAAGGATGGAGGAGTCTCACCGCCCCAGGGAGCAGAGAATTGCTGGCCAGTGCCAGCTCGGGCAGCAGCAGCACCATGCCAGCTGCCTCACTGGGCACAGACAATAGAAACAGTCTGTTCCCATGGGATGGGGCCAGCCCGCCCGGCGAGAGCAAGCGCTGACACAGAGGGTTTGTATCCGACACAGTGTAGCTTCTCTTAAAGCCTTTTATTCACAGACACGGTACAGACACATGGAAAATCTGCATGATCACATCCGAGAGGGCAGCGTAYCCCCAGGCCGAGCCCACGGGGCCAAACCCCACCCAGTGCACAAGGAAGCTCAAGTGTTTGAAGCAGACATTTCGTGGACATGCGACAGCGACAGAAGGAACCCAGCATTTAGTATTCCTCCCCTTCCTCCTCGCCCTCCCCTTCCACAGAATCCACCCCCACCTCCTCATAATCCTTCTCCAGGGCAGCCATATCCTCACGGGCCTCCGAAAACTCTCC